GTCTCGTGAATGTACCGCCATTGCTCCTGGTCGTGAGTGGCTGCTTCGCGGTCATCATGACTTGCAGCCTAGGGAATACCGTGTACCAGAATGGTCTTGGCTACGAATTCCTGTCGATTTTCGTCCAAGTAATGCTTCGCTTGTCTGCGTTCGCTCCACGGAATATCCGGGAATAGGCGGATGGAACATGACCCATTCCGGAGGCGAGTTGTCAATAACAGGACACCTGCTGTTTTATTAGCAGAAGTCAACACAAATTGGAAAAGCCTTGGTTCACATAGTACTATGAGTTTGGGCGACGGGTGACGCGTGTCAAAGTTACGGGGTTAGTTACAACACCTAGAGTGTCACATAGGGAGTTCCACTGGTTCACCTCAGCCAGTTGTTTGCATTTTTAGGAATTTGACGTGGATTCTGAACGTTGGGGCAGATTACCTCTGGTATACTACGTGCAATTCTGCTTGAGGTCAAGCTACCAGATAGTCTGTGTACAGTCGATTGAGGCTGTTTGGGTACAGCTTCGCCTTCTTCTTTTACTATGGGTCCAATGGGAGTTGTCGAAGCTCTAGGTTTCCGGTCACGTCTAGCAGCAACCAAGTTCCAAGCACCACTGGCGGTGAAGCCCTTCTGAATTTTCGGAACCGTTTGGAGGATGGACGAGGCTCTGACCGTGCTCATTGTAATAGGATGGTCGGTGGTTGTTTTAGGCATATTTGAGCAACTGATGGTATTGGCGTTTAATGCCACAGATGATGCATTTTTAGTGCGCTACCTGGCCTTCTTCCTCCGTTTTAATGCGGTGCGGTGCTGGGTTGGGATAACCGGGATTTACTCTCTGTCACGCTTTTCACAAGTGAATTACTTTTGCTGCCCTCATTTGTTCAAACATTGTCACTAGATTTTCGTACTTCTGCGGTAGTTAATGTCCAAGGTTTACCAGTGGGATGACTATACATACTGAACAGAACCACAGTGAATCTGGCTTACTGTTGTGTAGCTTCAACTGGTCCATTGTGACCTCGGAACATTTGCGATGGAACTTGCCTTGGCAACTGCTACACTGCATTCCGATCCGTACATTTTTAGGGCATAAAGGAAGGCCACAAACTAGTGTCGGTAACATGGGCATTTGCTTGGTCGCCATGATGCATTGCGTCGAACGGTGGTATTACCCGAGAGTCCCGAGCGCTTATGGTTTCCTGCGGGTCGCGTGTGCGCCGAATTGTTTGCATGTTCAAGGTCGCCAACTTCTGTGCGTCTGGCTCAGGCCGGGGCAGGTTTAAGCGTATAGATCGTTCACGCGGCAAACAGAGCGACTGAGCGCTACGGTCACAAGGTGTACGATAAATACCTTGACGAACGGTCCACAGCTGTACTTGCTGGTTTGTCAGATGAAGCGTTTAGTTGACTTTCGTTTGAGACCAAAACTATTTCTGTGTGGTTCGTGATTCGGGAAATTCCTCGATTGTGTTTTTGTGGGAGTGGCGCAAAAACCGCAATGTGGAGATAAAAGACGGTCCATGTAAGCTAGATCCGAAAGATGGTGTGCACAAGGTAGCGCAGATGAGTCTGTATGGAATGAGTGTGAACACACGTTTGTGTGACAAAATGTAAATGAGAACAGTGGCAAAACAACGTGTTCACGGATGAGCGGTTGGAACGCAGGTTCGTTCAAGGTCGTCCCTCTTCTCTCTCTTTTCTGAATCACAGAAAAAGCAAGCATCCAGCTAGTACTGCGAACTGGTGCTTTATGATGCAGGTGAAAATGGTCCGGGCAGAATTTTTCGATTGTGTGACAAGGAACTATTAAATGCATTGTTTAAAGACACAATCTATGGGACGGAACTTTTAGAAAATTTCAAGCATGCTTCATCAACTGCATACGTGAGACTCCAAAGTGAGAGACTTATCCGCTTTGTATTTACCATTTGGTGCAGAAAAAAGTTACAGATATTATATCAGAATGTTGCAAACACTGAAGTTGTCACTTCTGGATTTTGTGCCTACGGAGATGTTACTAGATTTGGAGAAGGCCTCCATGAACGAAGAGAGAATTTCTTTTCCAGCATCTGAAATCTAAAGGTGTTATTTCCACTTGTGCTAAAGCCTCATCAGGAAAGTGAGCAAAGTTGGCCTAAAGAAGTCATTTCCGGCGGATTTAAACACAAGATTGTAGCTGAAGTCTCTGATAGCGTTATCGTTTGCATCGGTTCGTGATGAAGAATTGTATAATGCAGTTCTCACATACTTCTCCACATAGATTGAGGGCGCTGCAGGCAGAGATACACCATTTCCACTGCAAATATGGAAACATCAAGATGCAGCTTTGAGATGTCGCCAAAAACGACCCTGGTTGAGGGATTCCACAATACGAACTTCGCATTATTGCGTCTTGTAGTACCCGCCGCGTATCTCGACTGCGACACACAATCTCGATTGAGACTACAGTTTGCTTTGAAACAAACGTATGCTATTTCGAGCACTGGGCTTGCATCAGAAGTGTTGTGTTACGGAGCTACTTTCTCCCAACACTGCACTCCAAGACAGACCGGTTTCATCTTACTTTGGACTCGTCACGTAGGGATAGCTTGAGCTGAAAGGGGCACCCAACACAGTGATTGACCGCGTTCGTCTAGGTCGATAAGCCAGAGCTTCACAACAGTGCTGAACACAGCGACCAGAAGTTAAGTATTGTGTCGTAGAATACACGCCTAGTGACCAAGACGAAAGCCGTCAACCACTGTGCTGGGCGCCGCTCTCAGCTCAAGATATCTCTGTCTGACAAGCCCAAATCAGGATGAAACCGGTCGGTGGTTGAGTGCAGTTTTGGGAGAGAGCAGCTCCGAAACTCTCCACTTGAACTCTTTATTTCACTGCAGTCATCCCAACAACTGATATTTATTTGTTGGACCAAAGAAGGGCGTTACCTGACACAGATTATCAATGGCAAATGCATAGGTAGGTCGGCTAGATTTGAAGGAAAGAACATAGTATATGCTGCAACGCACGGCCGCCTCCCACGTCAAAGCACAGACTGCAGACAAACTGAGATATCTGCGAAGATTGGCAAACTCGCAAGAATTGAGATTTTTGCTAGTATAGTGTATTTGAAAACTTAATGTCATATTGCCATTATTTTTCAGCGTAAATATTTCATTAACAGTATTTTACCTGACACAGTAATGTGAAAGTGAGTGTTTTCCAATGACAGCAATTTGTGGCGGCAGGCCCAAAGATCAGTCTAGAGCAGTGATTCGCAATTTGGGGATAATTCCCCCCAAAGGGGTAAAATAGAATGTTGCGGTGGGTAAATATAACTAAGAGGACTGAGTCGGAAAACTTTTACCAAAGAAAATTAAAAAAAACACCTCTACCAAAACATCTAAGTAACTCTTTATTATTGATTAACCATCACTGACTACGCATTAGTGAGTGGTTAGTGAATTAGACAATTTTCTGTAATATATTCTATTACCCAATATACCAATACAAGCCTGCAAATCAGCGCAGCTAGACGGCGCTTCTTATCGGCTTGCTCGTCGCTTGTCGTCTTTTTGAGTCAGGCAGTCGTTCTTCGGGTCGAGTTACAGAGTTGGGTGAACACTTAGGTGAGAGTATAAATCAGCAGACTAGGTAAATGAACGAGCGAATGTTCACAAGATAGAAGGGACAAAACAGGCGATTAGTGTTCAGGCGGTATCGATATAGTGTGATGATGGGAAGCTGTCATCCACGGCAGAGTTGGAAGGGATGGTTGAAAGAAATGCCCATGTTTGGTCTAGGATCATGCACCAAAACAAGGAACCGAATGAATTTTAAGCACAAGTTATGATGTGCATTCGCCGAAACCGCACTAAACACATCATAACTTGTTGGAAGTAAACATTGTCAAACATCTCATTATCTTACATCACCCCTTGATACAATAAAATATTGCTCTATAATAGGTGCGTTATTTGTTTGAAGGAAAATAGTTAAAAATAGTATTCATTTTACATAATTTGAAGTATAAAGTGCAATAGTTAACAGGTATAATTAACATCAAAGCCAAAGGTTTTAGGGGTAATTGTCCATATCGAACCCGCTTTTGGAGTAAGGACCACAAATGGTTGAGAACCACTTGTCTAGAGGAATGGAATCATGAAGGGACACGCTTTTTCATTGCGCGCATCTAGCGACACCGGAGAAGTGGGAATACAGGGTCTATCGCAGAGGTGCGATGGATCCGACCCTGAGTGTGCCTTTGGCTTAGTAAAATGTCTCGAGCTGACAGTCCACATTTGCCATCGGTAGTCTAAGTGTGCAACGGAAGAAGCAAATTCAATGGCGAGTGAACACATCGTATTCACCTAAACCGGATACCTCTGCAGACTGCTGCAACTTTTCTGTTCAAGCGTATTTCTGGGTGGGAAATTCACTACATGCATATCATTCCATGTACACTACCATAGTGTAGAAAATGGCTATTGATCATTTGATGCGGCCACGAACCTCATTAAGAGATAGCAAGGCCAGCCACGACCTCGGTCTGATCACATCAAGCGCGTTAGTGCCACCGAATCGGTTAGGCTTCGGCAAACTGCAGAAGGCGAGCAGGGCTCTGTTAGTTGAGTAATCTGAATGAGTTATGGGGGATTTGACACGCACGGCAGTCGTTTATGTGCAAAGCGATCGAATTGGTGTAAATCCGTGTTCAGCATATACCGTGCGCGCCATTTCTGTGTACGCAATTTTGCGCGTACGCAGTTTCTGTGTTCGCTTTCATCATGGAACCACTATATTTGCAGCCGAACTCACCAACTGCCTTGGCAACGACAGTTGTATACGGATGAGTGAACATACGGCTATTTGTTTCAAAATCCAGCACGCAGGTATTCCGTGTTTGCCTAACCTGCACAAGCATAAAGAGGCTTGAACATAGTTGAATGGAGGAATGGTCTAACAATATAAACTTAGGCGGGAAAACGGTGCAAAAAAGCTTGGGTGTTTTTGGCACTTACTGAAAGGGTTGTAAATTGCTTGGACTGATTCCAGTCGGACCAGCCGATTTCTATCGCGCGTCTTTTCGATCGTCACGGTGACATAACTGAGGGGATAGATGAGAACAAAGGCGAACAGGTTGAGCTTGAGAACGACATCATTGAGTTAGCATCGTCCGGCACACACCCCCTCATGCACATCAAACGTTCCAAGTGGGAAATGACGTTAACGTTTGGCTTTGTCTGCACGTTTCGTTCTATCTACTAGGTGTGTGTATGCATTAAAAAGCTAGAGACCTCTTGGCCTCCGTGCGCCCGTACCTCCTGCTATTATGTTGTGTAATGACAGATCACAACAGAGGAACTAATTGAGTCAGTCGCTTGGGCAGCGAAGTGGCATTGTCATAGTGCATTGGAGGTGCTCGTGGTTTAACTGGTGACTGCTAATTTGGGGGGCGCTGGATACGATCTCACCAAAAAGCTGTGTCTAGCGTGGATCAGAGCAGGAAGATGACAACACTTGTGCTCTTAGAGTAGTTACGAACAAAACATGCAGGTTGGTCTAATTTGATAGCAATATTTATACGCACCTTAGTGTTGTTGGCGTTTGCAAGTATTAACGCAGGCACCCAGTCTAGTTGCTCTAACCATTAGTAAAAGATACTTCGTCACATTGCCGCTGCCACGTTTTGAAACTGGTGGCGCACCATTTACATTTGTCATATTTTTATTTGACTTTATTTGGCCCTTAGCGTGTGTCTTGTAACTGCATATTCACACTTCATGGGTGCATACAACGCACTGTTCACTTGACTTGATTGAATATAAAGAGTGGCAGCTACAGAAAAGTGATGTTCGCGGTCCCAAGCGATCAAACGATTATTGTTACGTTGTTTTTCGTAAAACGTCAGGGAAACGATCGCAAGTACAGATGAGCAACTGTAGTGCCATCACTAAAGTTTAGGTGAAGAGACGTTTTCATGGGGGATCACTTCATCATTTGTAGCATTTGATAGTCACATACATACCTTTGTCAGACAGTATCAACACTATTGAAAATCATCCGGATCCGCTGGTTGCAATCAGTTATGAATTGGTCTTTCCTGTGGCAAACGATAGGTGAGAACATCCAAAGGATTTTGGCCATCCAAACGGATTTAGCTATAAGTTGCCAGTCAGGTCACCAACCCATACTGTTCAAATATGAACGCGTTGCACTCACATGGGTTGAGTCCCCATTACAGCTAATGATTACGTATGCAGTACCGACCCACGGAAAGCAACTCCTATACAGCTTGGCACCAGTTTGTGACAACTGGAACAATATAGGATTGGAATACATTTAAGCGGTAGCTGCAGCTGATGCTGTAGTTATTTCCGCCACATGTGAGTGTACGAGCCGCATAATGGTGAAGCTAGCTAATTGATGGCATTCAACGTGACACATATGCACGACAAAGCCGAAAGGGTTCGGCATTGGCTGACTGAAAGCTTGTGTTGAACAGGTACAGCATGTCAGGGTGTTCTCATACTATCAAGGTAAAAAGTACTGGCAGAAGCCAAGGCACACCAATAGTTGGGCTGGACTATGGCGGTAAAACCAGTACCCTTTAACATAGTAAACTGGAATCATACAGTGTGTGAGTAGGAAAAAACCCGTTCCTTTGCTTTCCTCACTTCGGTTGGGCCATCCGTGAAAGAATCATATACAAGATCTGAGGGCCATCAGCGGATTCTACTTGTTTTTAGTCAACGTGACGAGCTCGTGGCTCATACTACTCAGTTTTGAGAAATTTTGTCGTGGACTATTATAACGCTGTGCCCGCAATTGACCGTTTGATTCAGGCCTGCTGGTAAATCTATGCTCTTACGCCTGCTCTGTTTGACGCCTTAGCAAACCCGACAGGAAGGAAGACAGAAGAAGACTCAGCCGACCAGAATTGTATTAGGACCGAGAACGCTCATATTTATGTGACTGTTTCACCAATCCTTTAAACATCATCTGGCGGATTTGGCTGTAAGCTCGCGCTCCACTTTGATTGTCCGCTCCGTCTGGCCGGTTCAAAGTCTTGCTCGGGCACGTCAGTCTCCATCCGCCTACCCGGGGCATGGCAACGCACGTGATGTCTGACGTGCGCTTTCATTCGCTTCCGGTCAGGCCTTGGCAACACACATGATGTCTGATGCGCGACTTCCGCAGCTTTTCGCTGGGTCCTTGCAACAGCTCGCAGGGTCTGTCCCAAGCACGATTTGTGGCGAACACGTACGCATTAGCAATCAGCTTTCTTGCCCAGCTGTCACAGACAGTGGCCATTAGACGGAAGCACATCCGCTCTGCGCTGGATCGGTGTTTAATTCTAGCAATTACCTTCCCTATCTTCTCAACAACACGCATCAGTCGCATCGTGCTGGATCCAAACCCAAAGCCTAAGTTTTACCACGCAATCAAATGGAATTAGTGTCACGACAACGGACTGCTGTGAATGATTGTGCGTTATCACATGATGTGCAGGTAGTTAGCCCTCAGAGTTACGACTTTCCAGAGAAGCCAGGCAAGCCACTCGGGTGTTGCTTGACTGATAGGGTGTTTCAGATCTATTTGCAAACGTTCGTCTTATCCAATGACCTGTTAGAGGGAGTCATGGATTCGAATGAGGCACGTTTCGGAGAATGTGTATTGTTGACGTGTCCCAGTAAAACGAAGCGGCTATCCGGCGCTCATCCACATTTGTGGTGCCTGTCTGGCCAAGTATTGTTTCCAAGTCACTTCTTACAAGCGAAGAAATCCACCTACTCCTCTCCAGCTTACCATCGGGTTTTGATGGACAGAGTAAAGGGATGGTCATTTATGAGCAAGACACTTGTCGCCGCAATGCAGTGGGAAGCTTGAAGGATGGAACGAACTGCCAATTTTTAAACAGGTTCGTCTGATCGACCAATTTAGCTAGTAGGGGTTGTGAACCTTAGCAACCGTAGCGCCGTTATCGAAGAGTATGTGAGAAAGGCTGAAATAACTGAGGTCATCTGAGCGCAGTTAGATCACGGAGCTGATAACAAACCGCCGGTAGTTGACCATATAGTTACAAAGGAGGAACTTGCAGGCAACAAGCCATCAACAAACTCATCACTAGTAGCAAGCGAACGTGTTACTATACTTTGCCACGATACGTATTACGCCGAATATCTGGAGGAACGCATTGAACCAACGCGCAAGCTCACGGGCTACATCTTGACAGACCAATTGGGATATCATGAAAGGCTGCACCTTTGGCGGCACCTGGATTCAGTTCGTTGGACATTTCTGCAATATGATGTTAATTGCTTCACAAACTAGTCTGGTTCGTTCACTAAAGCATCGTCGATCTTCAGATGCAGCACTCGAAAAAGCATGGTACTAATGAATGCAGGTTGGCGCGCTTACAGAGTCATTCCTGTTCTAGAAATCTGGGGTGACTATGTGGTGCAACATAACCATTGTAGTACGCTTGTCCGTGAGGACAAATTGGCTCACCGACTAAATGTGGCTCGTAGGTGTTCCAAAAAAGAAAGCTACAAACATATGTCGGAATAGTATTCGCAAAGTGAAGCATGTTATAAACCACTTACCACGATAGTCCGAGTGGTACAGAGTGCTGAAGAAGCAGCCAACAGGCTACGGATACAGTAGGCTTCGATCTTCCAACAAGACGTTCGTCAGTGTTACATGTCCATATCCATAGTCTCAATTGCATCACTTACTGACATCGTGTTTATCGCCACGTTTGTCTTAAAGAAATTGCTCTCAATGCGTACCAACAGTTCTCCCGGATTCCATGGTATTCCTCCGAGGACACTGAAGGTAGCAGCAACGACCCTGGCTGAGCCATTGGCGCGGTTCTTCCAAACGTGTTTGGATAAACAAACGGTGCTAACAATTGGGAAACATGGACTAATGACACTGATTTCTAAAAGCTACAGTCTTTCGGAACCCACAAACTATCGCCCAGTGGTCATCCTCCATGTGCGCTCAAATGTGATGGAAGCGATCACTGCTGATGCTTTAGTTGACCATCTAGAAAGTTACAACATCATAGCACCGGAGAAGTACGGTTGCTGTCAACACAGATCATGCACAGTCAATCTACTGACTGCAAACGGTAGTTAGACGGAAGCGGCCGACCAAGGGACAGGGACCGATGTCAATTACCTTCACTCTTCTAAAGCCTTCGAACGCCTGGATCATCGCATTCTGCTTTACTGGCTCGAAAGCCATGGAGTTGGGGACCCAGTCCGTGGGTGGATCAGGAATCTCCCTTTGAATCTGCAACTGCAGGTTAGAGTTCAAATTGCACTAACTGATCCGATTCATGTCGAGTGTGTCTTTCAACAAGAATCAGTTCTAAGGCCGCGGCTGTTTCTGTTATTCATTAGCATGCTTGCGCGTTCCATTACCACGGAAGATATTTTCTTTGCCGATGTTATTTGCTGATGATGTTAAGATGTAGCGAGCGTTCGACCACCAAAGAAATCATAATGCACTTCAGCGAAACCAGAACACGGCGTATGAATGGCCACTCTACAATCTGCTCCAATTTAATTCGTCCAGATATAAGGTGTTCCACATTCGTCATCAAACGAACATCATGTAAAACTAGGAGGCCACATCATACAAGCAGTTACCCAGGAGCGCGAGCTTGTTATGTTACTCCCGCAGAGGGCATTCGGACGATTTGATTTATCTGTTTGTCCGCAGCTGCTTAACACATAGGCATGGCCCCTTGTGGAATGCATTATCCAGGCCTAGCAGCCCTGGCACAAGCAAGATCTCTCAGCGCTCGGAACTGCACAGCGATTGGCGAAGTCTATAAATTGGTCGGTGCCTTTGCACTGGAATATTGATCTTACTTCATCTGCTGCAGATATATTAGTTTATGTTAAGTACATTATGAAATTTGCTTCGGTCGAACTAGTTACAAGAGCACTAACGCTTTCCTCGGCCTTTTTTCGAAAATTGACTTTGATATGCCGAGCGTACTACATGAAGTCATCAGAAGGTGCATTGCAACAAGGAATCTTCGTCTGAATAGACACTGTACCGTCAACAACATGCAGTTTCGGGACAGTGCAT